CCGAAGGGCCTGTACTGCGCTGTAATGTTCTATGTTCTATGTTCTATTATAGTGTACAGAGCACAGATACTCCACAAATCGGTCACCAAGTCTGCACTTTGTCTCACCGTTGTAGAGGATACCTCAATGGGAACAATGGATACACTAGACCAGGTTAGAGGATATGGAAAGTTTGTATGGAGCCTCAGATGGAGGTGAGGGGGGAGGTGTAGATGTATGTGTAGCACCTCCTGCGGTTTCAGGGAAAGGTGCTGGGTGTGGTGCAGTTGGTGAGAAGTGTGGAGCAGACAATGGATTCATGGAGTGAACAGTTCCTATGAAAGGCAGATGGGGTGGGGTGAGCAATATCTCTTTGGTGGTGAGGTCGAATTTCAGGTGGTGGAAGTGGCGGAGAATGATAAGCTGGATGCGGAGGTTGGTCAGATGGTATGTGGGGACCTGGGGGTCTATGTCTATATTTTTGTTGGGGGGAGGGGATTTGAGGGTAGAAGTGTAGGAAATGCAAGAGATGCAGTTGAGGGCATTTTCAATCAATGGAGGGGGCAAGTTGTGGTCCATGAAGTAGGAGGATATCTGGGATGTCTGGGAATGGAACACCCAATATTGGGAGCAGATGTGGCGGAGGCAGAGGAATTGGAAGTAAGGGATTGCATTCTTGCAGGACGGTGGGTAAGAAGAGGTGTAGTCAAAGTAGATGTGGGAGTCAGTGGGTTTGAAATAGATGTCAGTGCTGAAACGGTTACCGGATATGGAGGCAGAAGTCCAGGAAGGAGAGGGAGGTATCAGAGATGGTCCAGGTGAATTTGAGGTTGGGTTGAAAGGTGTTAGTAAAGTTCATGAACTGTTCAAGCTCCTCGTGGGAGCATGAGGCAGCAACGATACAGTCATTGATGTAGCAGACAAAGAGATAAGGAATGGTGCCGGTGTGACAGCGGAAGAGGGACTGTTCCACGTACCCTATCAAGAGGCAGGCATAGCTCAGACCCACATGGGTGCCCAAAGCCACCTCTGTAGTTTGTAGTAAGTGGGAGGAGTTAAAGGAAAAGAGTAGGACAGGAAGGATCTGGGCCCAAAACGTCGACTCTCCTGCACCTCTGATGCTGCTTGACCTGCTGTGTTTCTCCAGCTCCACACTGTACTGACTCTGACTCCAGCATCTGCAGGTCTTCCTATCTCATTTTACCACTTTTATCCCCATAAATATCCTTACGCAGCCAATCCTCAAATTCAGATGAGAGAGCTGTCACCATTTTTTAGTGAATTTCTGTGCATGACTGGATAATGTTCTCCTCAGCTGATATCTCTTCCCATGGGAATGAAGACAAAATCCATTTTCCAGTCCCACTTGTGTTTGCAACTGATTGCACCATGAAAATAAAACTGATGTCTTTCATGCTGATAGAGTTCTTTTGCTTGAAATCTGAAGTAATTAATATCTTTAAGGAATAATTCAGTCAGTAATTTTAATCCTTGTTAAATTAATTCTTAGGTTCATTATGATTTCGGCTTGAGAAACATTCTTTCTGTTTTGAGGACACTGGGAGCTCAGAAGAGAGCACGACCAGAAGATAGTGAACAAACAATTGTCATGAGAGTTTTGAGAGACATGAATCTGTCTAAACTAGTGAGTAGAATTGGGACCTTATTTCATTAATGTTTTCGACGAATAAAATGTCTGTAAGATTCTTCTCCAATCAGTTTCAGAGGATAGCTCAAGCTGAAGACGGTAGAAAATCAAGAGAACAAAGAGAAACCTCATGTCAAGGGGAAAGTTATTATTAAAATTATTCTAAGATAAGATCAGAATCCCAGTGGTAATAATTCCTGGAGTTATAAGAAGATATGAGCAAAAGAAAAATGGTAATCATCTTTAAAAGTGTTGTTCATGGGAAATTTAAAATAACTTTAAAAAAGGGAAAATAACTGGAGATCCTACAATGTGATAGAAGAATCTCTGTAAGATACACAACTGCTCTCCAGTAACTCAACAATGCTCTTACAAGAGCATCTTCCAAATCCTTGAGACTATCAAGGTCCAGGACAACAGAAGCACAAAATTAGTCCCTGTAAATTCCCCTTCAAGTCATTTATCATTGCAATTGGAGATATATCAAGCCAAGTGCAAATAACATTTGTGCCACACAATTGCCAGGCAATGACCATCTCCAACAAGAGAATCTCGTCACTGTCCAATGATATTCAATGATGTTACCGTCACTGAATCTCCACTATCACCATCTGAGGGTTACTATTGACCAAAAACTGAACTGGATTCACCATATAAATACAGTAACTACAGGAGCAGGTCAGAGACTAGAAATACTGCAGCTAGTAACACACCTCCTGACTCCCACTGAAGCTGAACTTTAAAAATGTCACCAGTGACTTGAACACCAGATCACCCAGCCATGGCGAGCACACAATTCTCCCAGAATGATCTGTCTGCAGAGTCAGTTTGGGTTGAGGTCCAGGACAAGAAAGGAGCAGTCACCTTGTTGGGGCTTTTTTACAGACCCCCTAACAGTCGCAGAGAAGTAGAGGAGCAGATTGGGAGGCAGATACTGGAAAGGTGCAGAAGTCACAGGGTTGTAGTCATGGGTGACTTCAACTTTCCAAATATTGATTGGAAACATTTTAGCTTTAATAGTTTAGATGGAGCGGATTTTGTCCAGTGGGTTCAGGAAGGATTCCTGACGCAGTATGTAGATAGACCAACACGAGGAGAGGCCACTTTGGATTTGGTGCTTGGCAATGAACCAGGCCAAGTGTTAGACCTGTTGGTAGGAGAGCATTTTGGCGGTAGTGATCATAACTCTGTTTCTTTCACAATAGTCATGGAAAAGGATAGGTATATACAGCAGGGTAAGGTTTATACTTGCGGGAAGGGTAATTACAATTCTGTTAGGCAAGAACTGGGTAATATAAATTGGGAACAGATGCTGTCAGGGAAGAGCACTATTGAAATGTGGAGATTGTTTAAGGAATGCATACTGTGTGTGCTCGATATGTTTGTCCCTAGCAGGCAGGGAAGATGCGGTCGAGTGAGGGAGCCTTGGTTCTCAAGAGAGGTTGAATGACTGGTTAAGAGGAAGAAGGATGCTTATGTAAGGTTTAGGAAACAAGGAATGGAAAAGGCTCTAGAGGGATACAAGTTATCCAGGAAGGAGCTGAAGAAAGGGCTTAGAAGAGCTATAGGGGGGCATGAGAAAACCTTGGCAGATAGGATCAAGGAAAACTTCAAGGCTTTTTACACGTACGTGAGGAATAAGAGAATGACCAGAGAAGGGCCGATCAAGGATTGTAAAGGGAATTTGTGCACGGAGCCTAAAGAGATACTTTTCTTCGGTATTCACAACTGAGAGGGACCTGGTTGTAGAGGAGGACAGCGTGAAACAGGCTGGTAGGCTAGAGGAGGTCGATGTTAGTAAGGAAGATGTGCTAGGAATTTTGAGGAAGTTGAAGATAGATAAGTCCCCTGGGCCTGATGGGATTTATCCAAGGATTCTACAGGAAGCGAGGGAAGAGATTGCAGGGCCTTTGGCGATGATCTTTTTGTCCTCACTGTCCACGGATATAGTGCCGGAAGATCGGAGAGAGGCAAACATCATTCCCTTGTTCAAAAAAGGGAATAGGGATAACCCTGGAAATTACAGGCCAGTTAGTCTTACATCAGTGGTGGCAAATTATTGGAAAGGGCTCTAAGAGATAGGATTTATGATCACTTGGAAAGGCACAGTTTGATTCGTGATAGTCAGCATGGATTTGTGAGGGGTAGATCATGCCTCATAAACCTTATTGAATTCTTTGAAGAGGTGACTGAACACGTGGATGAAGGTAGAGCAGTGGATGTGGTATACATGGATTTAAGTAAGGCGTTTGATAAGGTTCCCCATGGTAGGCTCATGCAGAAGGTAAGGAGGCATGGGATAGGGGGAAATGTGGCAGATTGGATTTAGGATTGGTGGTAGTAGACGGAAAATATTCAACATGGTGCTCAGTTACGGGTGGTGTACCACAAGGATCTGTCCTGGGTCCTCTTCTATTTGTGATTTTTGTAAATGATTTGGATGAAGGAGTGGAAGGGTGGATTAGCAAGTTCGCGGACGATATGAAGGTAGGTCACGTTGTAGACAGTGCAGAGGGCTGTTCTAGGTTACAAAGGGACATTGATAGGATGCAGAGCTGGGCTGAAAAGTGGCAGATGGAGTTTAACCCTGAAAAGGGTGACGTGATTCATTTTGGAAGGACAAACTTGAAAGCAGAATACAGGGTTAATTGAAAGGTTCTTGGCAGTGTGGAGGAGCAGAGGGATCTTGGGGTTCATGTTCACAGATCCCTGAAAGCTGCCACCCAGGTAGATAGAGTTGTTAAGAAGGCGTATTGTGTGTTAGCTTTCATTAATAGAGGGATCGAGTTCAAGAGCCATGAAGTTATGCTCCAGCTATACAAAAGCCTGGTTTGGCCACATCTGGAGTATTGTGTCCAGTTCTGGTCGCCTCATTACAGGAAAGATGTGGAGACGTTAGAAAAGGTGCAGAGGAGATGTACCAGGATGTTGCCTGGAATGGAGGGAAGGTCTTACGAGGAAAGGTTGAGAGAGCTAGGGCTTTTCTCTTTAGGACGACAAAGGATGAGAGGTGACTTGATAGAGGTGTACAAAATGATCTGAGGTATAGATAGAGTGGACAGCCAGAGTCTTTTTCCTAGGGTGGAGATAGCAATTACGAGGGGGCATAGTTTTAAAGTGAGTGGAGGTAGATACAGGGGAGACGTCATAGGTAGGTTCTTTACTCAGAGAGTGGTAGGTGCGTGGAATGCATTGCCGGAGAGGGTAGTGGAGTTGGCCTCATTAGGGGCATTTAATCAGCTATTAGATAGGCATATGAATGATAGTATAAGGTCGGGCTGGAGGTTAGATAGACCTTCGCATTAGGGTAAAAGTTTGACACAACATCGTGGGCCGAAGGGCCTGTACTGTGCTGTACTGTTCTATGTTCTAATGGCATCCAAGATCTTGGCTGTATAATTAATGAGGTGAAGAATGGGAGATCCCCTGAGAAAGGTTACTCTGAGACCATGGTTAAATGGTACCATGCATCTCACTGAAAACTCTACCATTGATCTTGTACATGCTTTTGAGAGTTTATGCCACATACTGGTGACTAAATATGGTTTTGTGAGTCTAATGACAATATGCTTTCTCACCTTTGTTATTCATTCCTGGATGAGGGCATTGCTGGCTGGACCAGCATTTATTGCCCATCCCTAATTGTCCAGAGGGCTGTTAAAAATCAACCACATTGTTGTGGGTCTGGAGTCACATGTAGGCCAGACCAGGTGAAGAGTGTAGTTTCCTTTCCTAAAGGGCAATAGTGAACCAGATGGGTTTTTCTAGTCATTGACAATGGATTGGTCATCATTAGACTCTTGATTCCAGATTTTTAGTGAATTCAAATTCCAACCATCAAAACCAAGATTCCAGATTCAAACCCAGGTCCCCACAATATTACCTGGGACTTTAAATTTATAGTCCAGTAATAATACCACCACACCATTGCTCACCTGCTTCCTTGTATTGCCTTGGCTATGATCTTGTTGTTAGTTGCTTGCATTTTGGACCAGGCCATGGACTACGTGGATGACTCTTCCAGACCACCAGTAGTCCATGGATACCACAGGATCTGATCAATAAATGTGAAAGCAGGAGAGTGTAGTCTCGCCAATTGAACAATGGTAGATTGACATTGGAGGATTGTATGGTCTAGTACGTCAGAGGTTGCTCATGGCTGAGAAAAATGAGAATAGAATCTTAGCTTTGTCGCAGTCACTTAAACTGTAATTTGTATTGTTGGTCACAGTCATTTCAGTAACTGCGGCAGGCCCTGGTTATTGGCAGGTACAGCGGGGTCAGCAGTGTTCAGTTCCTGAGTGGCAGGGTTCAAACACTTATAGTTCATGCGGCAGGTTCTGCCACATCCACATGACTTCATCATGGTCTTTCCAGCTCTGTAACTTTTTATTTGTTTCGGTTGCCCTGGGGCTTCCTCCTGATGTCCTCTTGTGAGAGATCAGGGCCCAATGTATCTCCATCCCTATTCCATCTTGGGTGGTGGCATCGGAAGACGAGCCAAGACCCTGTGAGTTGACCTGGAGCAGAACCTGTCAGTCGATGTGCAACGTCAGACAAGGGCGGGACCCGCACAGTGTGGGTATCTCCAGCTCAGAGATGGTGAACGCTGAAGCAACGGCACTGGTGGTGGCAGAAAAGGCACACATTTCCAACACCCCGGGGATGATGTCAGATGGCGGCAACTGGAGGAGCGCAGAGGCTGAAGTCTACAGAGGTGGAAAGATGAATTTTTAAAGCCGTTTCAGTTTTAGCAATATCAATTTAATATTAATTTATTCAGTATTTTATCATTTATATAACTTTTTCAGTAATTTATTTTGTAATCCAAGATGGTGTCGGAATGTGGCGATATCATCCATTTTTCACTTTGTACCTAGGTACAAGTAACAATATATTAAATAAAGAAATAAATAAACAAACCAAAGCCATGTCAAAAGGGAGTTCCAGACGGATGGAGATCAATTTTTGAGTCAACAATGTTTTCACAGATTTTAAAGAAAAATGGGGGATTAAAGATGTTAGTATAGTTTCTAAGGATGGACAGGTCAAAGTTTCATCTGGTGGATGAAAAACAAAGAGAGAAGGGAACTCACTTCAGCCTGTGCAGTCAGCAGCTCAGCATATTGGCAAATCTTCATGGAGCTATTACTCTACCAAGGTTTCCAGATTTGAACTTCTTGCAGTGAGAATAGACAAGTTATAATGAATTTGAATTTCATTAACAGGTGGATGAAGATGAGCCCCTTTTCCTCAGCCTGATCAGTGATCTGTTCCCGGGTATACAGTTAGATAGTAGCACCTACGTGGAACTGCAGGCTGCTGTAGCCAATCAGGTGGAAATAGCAGGATTAGTTAATCACCCACCCTGGAATCTCAAACTGGTTCAGGTAAATGTGCTGAGTTCTTTAATAATTCACTTCTAGTATATACCATTTGCTTCAATTTTAAAACAATTCTTTGAGATACGAATGTCAGTGTCAACAGTAACATTTGTTGTCTATCCCTAATTGACGTTCAATATGCTTTTAATATTTATGAATCTTAATATTTTCTCAAATTTACAGAACTGCTGCACATTTAGAAATTTATGACACGATTTTCTTGAAATGTGAATAGCACATTGTTATTTTAATATAAAAGTATCTCAACTATATTAAGGTTTCTGAAAATAAAGTAGCTACTCAAGACAAACCAAAACTGTATTGCCCTCATTTATTAAGTTACAATAAAATGCAGAGGTCTGATTTAGGGGCAGAATAAAATCATAGAATGACAAAATGGTCACTGCATAGAGAGATGCCATTTGTCCAGTCATATCCAATGCAGCTCTTAGCATGTTCCATTCCCCCACTTTTTAGGTGCAGCCCTGAAAATACTTTCTCTTCAGATAATTATCCACTTACTCTTTTGAAACCATGATTGCATCATCCTCCACACCATCAAGCAACGTGTCCTAAAACCTAACCACTTATAGCATGCGATAACACAATATGGAGCTGGAGGAACACAGCAGGACAAGCAGTATCAGAGGAGCAGGAAAACTGACATTTCGGGTCCCGACCCTAAACGTTAGCTTTCCTGCTCCTGTGATGCTGCCTGGCCTGCTGTGTTCCTCCAGCTCCACACTGTGTTATCTCTGACTCCAGCATTGGCAGTTCTTACTATCTCTGAGTCACTTATAGCATGAAATTCGTTTTCCCCAAGTTGCATCAGTTTTCAGATTTCATCTGAAATTGATGTCCTCTGGCTCACAGTCCTACGGCCAAAGGCATAATTCTTTCCTGATCTCCTCTGTCTCTTTCCTCAAACATTTGAATGCTTCTCATAAACCGCCTCTCAAGTTCTTTCCTAAAAAGAGCAACCCCAGCATTTCTAATCAACTCTGATCCCTGGAATGATGCTTGTAAATATTTTTTTCAGAATGCTCTATGATCCCTTGATACAAGTTCTGAAATGTGGTGGCCAGAACTTTACACAATATTCTAACTGTGGTCGTACTAGTGTTTTAGAAAGATTCACCATACTCTCCATTACGTCAATTTATAAAGCATTGGAAATTGTCTGTCTTATAATAGCTTATTTGACCCACACTGTTATGTTCAGTAATTTGAGCACACATAGCCCTATGCAAAATGCAGTGTCACCATGGATTAATGAAAGGTAAGTCATATTTAACAATCCAGCTATGGTTTTTTGACAACATTACTTGTAGCATAGTTAAAGGAGAGCCCGTGGATGTGGTATATTTGGATTTTCAGAATATTTTTGATAAGGTCTCATACAAGAGTTTAGTAAACAAAATTAAAGCACATGGGATTGAATATACCACTCTGGATTGAAAATTGGTTACCAGACAGAAAGTAGAAAGTAGGAATAAACAGGTCATTTTGAAGATGGCAGACTGTTGTGCTATTCACAATCTATACACTTGTAAAGGAGAGAAACTAAAGCCCCTCAACAGGACTATCCCATAGATGGAAGATCATGGCAAGAGGGGCTAAGAGCTGTGCCTGGGAACTTTCCCTCATCTCACCACTGCAGCATTATACAAAATTTGAGAATCTGAAAAGGATGGTGAGCATTTTACAATCAGAGTCTGATTATTTGAAAAAGAAGGAAACTCCCACTAAGCCAATGGAAGGAAAATCAATAGACATGTTTCACTATATAAAAACCTCTATGGTAACAACGAGCTGAAATCAATACAATTCAAACATTAATTAACAAGAGAAGGATACTTGGAATAAAAGACAGATTTTTGAAGTCAATGCAACAAAGATATGCCTTATATAGTTGCAAGCAATCAAATTGCTTCCAGGACAAAGTAGGACTGTATGTAATCTCCAAACAATGGGAGCAATGTGCAATAGATGAGGCTAAGCAATCCTACAACCAACAGGTCAGATGAAAGCTTTGCAGTTCTGCCACATTCAGTTATGAATGGTGGTGAAAATTTCACAATTAACAGGAGGAAAAGCTACACTAATCCTAAACCAGAACTATAAAATGGTTGATCCTTGAATTATCGAGTAATGATAGAATCAGGATACTCCAGACCAGTTGGTTAAAGAAAAAGAACGAAAGAACTGCAGATGCCGTAAATAAGAACAAAAACAGAGGTTGCTGGAAAAGCTCAGCAGGTCTGGCACCAACTGTGAAGAAAAAAATCAAAGTTAACATTTTGGGTATGGTGACCCTTCCTCAGAACTGATGGTAGCTGGGAAAATGTTGGTTTATAGTCCTCTGACGCTTTACGCCATTATCAAAATTTCCAGTTTGCAGGCTCCAGCTGCGTCCTTTTTACCAGGGATGAGCAATCCCTTTACATGTCCATCCCCCACCAGGAGGGTCTTAGGGCTCTCGCTTCTCCCTGGAGCAAAGCCTGAACTGTCCCCTTCCACCACCACCCTCCTCCGCTTGGCCGAGCTCGTCGTCGCCCTCAAGAACTTCTCTTTTAACTCCTCTTATTTTCTTCAGGTCACAGGGGTGGCCATGGGTATGTTATGCCTGTCTCTTTATGGGATATGTGGAACATTCCTTGTTCCAGTCCTATTCTGACCCCCACTCACAACGCTTTCTCTGATATATCAATTATATCATCGATGCTTCATCCCTTTCTCATCTGGAATTGGAAAAGTTCATCAATTTTGTTTCCAAATTCCACACTGTCCTCACTTTCACTTGGTCTATTTCTGACTCCTCCCTTCCCTTCCTCGACATTTCTGTTTCCATTTCTGGGGGTAGACTGGCCACTAATATCCACTATAAACCCACTGACTCCCACAGCTACCTGGACTATACATCTTCACACCCTGCTTTCTGTAAAGACTCCATCCCATTGTCTCAGTTCCTCCGTCTCCGTCGCATACGTTCAAATGAGGCCAACTTTGACCAGGGAGCCTCTGACACGTACACCTTCATCCTTAAACAAGGATTCCCCAGCACCATCATCGACAGGGCTTCAACCGGGTCCAACCCAAATCCCGCACTTCCGCCCTCACCTTCTCTCTTCCCTCCCGCAACAGCAATCGGCTTCCCCTTGTCCTTAATTGCCATCCCACCAGCATCCACATCCATAAGATCATCAGATGCCATTCCACCACCTCCAGCAAGATGCCACCACCTGACACATATTCCCATCCCCACCTTGTCTGCCTTCCGCAGGGACTGTTCCCTCTGGGACACTCTGGTCCACTCTTCCTTCACTCCCAACAAGCCCAACACAGCTCCACAGCACCTTTCCGTGCAACTGGCAAAGGTATAAGACGTCCCATTTACCTCCTCCCTCCCCAGTATCCAAAGGCCCAAACATACTTTCCAGGTGAAGCAACACTTCCCAGAATCTAAATAAAAACCGAAAGAACTGCGGATGCTGTAAATCAAGAACAAAAACCGAAGTTGCTGGAAGTTCAGCAGGTCTGGCAGCATCTGTGAAGAAAAAAATCAGAGTTAACGTCTTGAGTCCAGTGACCCTTCCTCAGAACATAATTTTAGGGCCTAAACTCTCCCATGTCCTAGCCCCCATCCCACACACCAGCCTTGTTATCACATAGCCTGCCATTACACACTTTAGGTCATTATTGTTAGTCACTAACAATCCCCATTAACAGCTATTCACCCTCCTAGCCAGATCGTTATCAACTCCTTTGTCTATCCAACTGCTCTTCTCTCTCTTTGAGCTCTATCCTTTAACCTATCATTTACTTCCTACCCCAAGCCCTTCTCTATCTTCGGCATATAAACTGACATTTTCCTAGCTACCAACAGTTCTGAGGAAGGGTCACTAGACCCGAAATGTTAACTTTGATTTTTTTCTTCTCAGATGCTACCAGACCTGCTGAGCTTTTCCAGAAACTTCTGTTTTTGCATTTGGTTCAAGATTTTTGTTCAATATATCTGATAGACCAGAGGGTCTCATGGATGCCTAGTTTAGAGATCTTAGATCTGCTCAAAGTCTGTCACGTTAAACGCAGTGATCATATCACACAACACAATGGATAATCCTCAATGTGAAGAGGGTTCTTTGTCTCTATGATGACAATGAGGTGGTCTCTCCTACCAATGCAATCATTTATAGATGGATTTGTTGTGGCTGGTGAGGTCATGGTAAAGTAAATGTTTCCCTCTTGTTGACTCCCTCACCACTTGCTGTAGACCCAGCCTAGCAATAATGTCCTATAGGACTTGACTATTCAATCAGTAGTGAACTGGCTACTGAACCACTCTTGTTACCCCCGGTGCTTCCACCCTGTGATGTTCAATGTGGAGGAATGCTGATTTATCATTAAAGGAGACACAGCACTTGGTAATCAGAGGAGGTTTCCTTGCCCCTGTTGATTCTGATACTGTAAAATTTCAAAGGGTTCAGACTTAATTTTGGGGACAGCTCTCTCCTGACTGTATACAACTAAATGAAGGGATACTGCAGAACACTATAGTTCTTGACCCAATGATAGAGAAGGAACAGTGATATATTTCCAATAGGGTGATCATTGAGTTGGAGGGGAACTTGCAGGTAGTGGTGTTTTCATGTGTCTGCTGCCCTTATCCTCCTAGATGGTAGCGGTTGTGGGTTTGAGGGGTGATGTCTAAGGATCTCTGGTGAGTCTGTGTAGTGCATCCTGTAAATGGTACACACTTATTATTAAGTGTCAGTGGTCAAGAGAGTGGATGTTTGTGGATATGATAACAATCAAGCGGGCTAATTTGTCCTGGATGGTATCAAGCTTCTGAGTGTTGTTGGCAAGCATCATACAAAATAAAAACTGAAAGAACTGCAAATGCTGTAAATCAGGAGCAAAAATAGAAGTTACTGGAAAAGCTCAGCAGGTCTGGCAGCATCTGTGAAAAAAAAGTCAGAGTTAATGTTTTGGGTCCGGTGACCCTT